TTATTTTATTATATGTGAGCAATGATTCTGCTGATTCACTTATTTGTAAAAAGAAATGGAAACTTGCTTACCTGTATGCACCAAGCATAGGTATTTCGTTAACAAAGTTCTAGATGTGAGTGGTTTGCGGGTGCTCTGGTGTGGTTTGCTTCTTCTTTCCTATCAAACATCTACAGTCCTTATCTCCCCTTCTTCTTTTTATGTTTGTTACTCTCTTGTAACACCTCTAATCTTCTGGCGCTCATATGACCTTATGCAGTTGCGAGTGCCATAAAACCTTTACTAAAACTGTAAAGTTCTAGATCAGGGAAAAAGATTTTGTTCTCCTCTTGCAGGCAACCCATCCATGTCTCGGAAGTTCTACACACGTATGTTGAACATGCACAAGACGAGCCCGCAGAGACAGATCTACGAGCTCGTGCATGTCGTGGGACACCTACAGGAAGTGGCACTGGCTCACGGTAGCTCAACCGCAGCTCCACAGGGAGGAGGTCAGTAGAGGTCGAGACTGTGTGTCTGCGGCGGTCTGTTGGTCTGTGGCGTTTTCATTGTGCGATTCACGTATTTTCAATAACTTGGCAGTTTTTGGGTAGGGTCAGAAAACTCAAATTCTTGTGGTACCGGTAATCAGTTATTTGCACATCTGTGTTGTTTTTTGTTGTTGGTTGTTTAAGGTTTTTTTTATTTACTTATGCCAAACTGAAGTAAATTAAGTTGCACTTTTCTGTTAGTTATATATTTGTATTGGGATTTTAATGTTTTAACCCTGTGGACGGTTGACGGGTGCCCAGGTTTGGTTGCTCCTTCTTTTTAGATCAAACGTCTTTTTTCCTGATGACTCCTCCTTTTTTGGGTTTGTTACTCTCTTGTAATGCATCTAATCTTTGTCACTTGCATGACTTTATTGTTTTTATTTTGCTGTAAAACTCTTGAGTAACGAAAAAAACAACAACTGTCTGTACAGGCCAACGAGAAACCTGGCTAATGTGTGCGTGCCAAGTGATGTCGGCCCAGCCTGAGAAGGAAGGAATTCCCTCCCCTTACGTCGAGTGGGTGTCCCATCATGCCCTGGATGGCAAGATCATTCACATGGACTCGAGGTGAGGACTCGTCAGCTGGCGCCTCTGGTGTGGTGTAGCGGTTAAGCACTTTGCTTTTTGCACCCTGTGAATCTGAGTTTCATTCCCGAGTGGGGAGAAATTTTTTTATCAAGCATCTCAGTCTTTCTTTCCGCTGTAGTGTTGTATCCATCTCAGTCCTGGTCTTTCCCCTGATCTCTTACTCTGTGGATTCCCATCACTACATGTTATTTTGTTACACAACTGCCTGGTTTTTGTAAGATTCTCATCCCAACACTTACCCCC